GAAAGAGGCTGCAGGAGGCTGAAGCTCTTCCTTCCTCCCAGAGTTTGCCTCTTTCTCTCCAAGGTTCCTTAACACCTGGGCAGTGATGCCCAGGGGATCCCACAGGGAAGGCAGAGGAAGGTCCTGGGCTCCAGCTGGTTAGTGCTGAGGACCCACAGGGAAGGCAGAGGAAGGTCCTGAGCTCCAGTGGGTTAGTGCTGAGGGCACATGGTGATGGTTCCCACTTCTGCCCAGTCCTTGGAAGGAAGGAATGGAGTAAAACTCCTTCTTCCACCCATCCATACAAACCCTGAGGTCAGGGAGTGACTCCAAGCAGCCACTGTTGAAGTTCATGGTATAGGCAACAGTTCCCAGAGGTGAGTTGCCTCTACCAGTAACACCACTCTGGTGCTGTCAGCACCCAATGTCACTTCCACCAACTCTTCCCTCGCCTCACTCCTTCCTCCACAAGCTTTTTTAAACCTTCCTCTGAGTGATCTTGCTGTATAAAACACTTCCTGGACTGACAACCTGTCTGCAGCTTGGAGAGAGGCTTCTTTGGGCTTAGTCATTGCTGAATTACAGCAGGCACAACCCCCCAAAGTGTAGTTAAAGCAGGAAGTGCATAGAAGTAATTAAATAACCCACTAATGACATAGCCAGGAAAGCTCAGTTGTGTCCTAGCCCCACTATGTGCCCTGGTGTGTCCTCTGTTAGAGGGCAAAACAATTGAGAAGTGATAAAAAGTTGCTGTTCCAGACAACCCACTAATTTTAAGGCCTGCTGAGTTGTGGTCCTGCACTAGGCAGGATTCTGCAAGTCCTTTTTGGGAGCTTGTAAAAGGAAGGAAAACTTCTTCCAGGCAGAAACCTGTCAGGAGTGTCTGTGCTGGGGTGGAGGGACTTGTTCTGCTTGTATGAAAACACACAGGAGTGTGGCTGGGTGAAACATCACCTCAAGCTTTGTTGGATTTGTGTCCTGCTTGAGGGAAGAACAAGCCAAAGCCTTTGGGCTTTGGGAGCAAAGAAACCAGGGAGATAATGATATTTAGGGAGATCATGGAGACAGTTTTCCTGCTTGAGGGGAAGGAATCTAGGCATGAAGGAGTTAGGAGCCTTCCCATGCTTCCACACAGGGTCAGGGTGGAAATCTTTCACCTCATGACTCTGAGCCACAGCAGACACACATCAACTCCCTTGTGAAATCCTGTGGTGTCAGTAGTTCCCTATAAACTGCACTTTTAGGTAGTACAGTGCAAGCAAAGAAGTTGTATTTCAGTGTATTTCTACTGCAAAGACAGGGAAACTAAGGCAGGAGGAGACAGGAGAACTCCAGAGCCACCATAGCTCAGAGACACTTTGGATGCTCAGAAAATCCTTAACACTAAATCACTGCACTGGAACTGGAGTCACTTCTGGACTCAGAGAGCACCTGCCCCAGCTTTTCCACTTCTGCTTAGTCTACTAGTGCACTTCCTGAAAGACAGACATGTTTCAAGGCCTTAATTCACCTTTGTTCATAAATAATGCAGGAATTAGGGTATGAAAGATACCACACAAGGGCAAAGTATCACATTTATCCTCAGTATGAGCTTATCTGAGTGCTTTGAAGTCCCTTCGAGTCAGCCCTGACTGAGCATGCACCAAAGAGGGTTTAGTATGAGCTCCCTGGTAAATTATTAATCATAACCTTCCTCCTGCATCCTGCCAGACATGGTTATTGGTTTTGCTAGGTTGGATCTGGAGTGAAGAGCAAGAGGGTGTGTGAGATGTTTTGCTTGTGCTATTCAATGAGTGATAGCTGGAAATAGTAAAATCAACAAGATTTAGGGCTGTTCCTCCCTTCAAGAGGATGTCTGAGGTCAACTGCAGCTTGTCTGGCATGGATTATATTTGCTGAAGCAATACATAAACTGTGTCAGAATGATACTGGTCTTCTACATCTTGAGGGCCAAAGTGAAACCATGAACACGAGACTGTTGACTGTGACTAACTCAAACTCAGAACTATGACTTCTGGACCCAGGAAGGCTCTGCCCCAGCTTCCCCACCTCTGCTTTGTTTACTACTCCATTTCCTGAAAGACAGGCCTATTTCAAGGTCTGAATTAACCTTTGTTTATAAATAATGCAGTAATTAGGGTATGAAAGATACTACACAAGGGCAACTCAGCTCTTATCACGTAGTGATAGTCTATGCTCACAGAGATGCTGTTCACAGACTCCTGGGGGAGTTTAAAGGTGAAATCTTAGGGTGTTCAGGCACTAGAATATTGCCCAGGCAGCTGGTGGAGTCACCATCCCTGGAAGTGTTTAAGAGACATCTCAATCTGATGCTGGAGGATATGGTTTAGGGGTTACAGCAGTGACAGGTTGGACTTGAAGATCTTAGAGGTCTCCTCCAACCTTGATGACTCTATGATTCTATGAAATGTGACTGTTGAGTTCAAGCTTGACTTTTGTGCTTTGATTTTTGTTCTTGGCCTGGTTTTGGGTGTCTGGTGGTCAGAGCTCAATGTGTCCTGGTTTTTGGGTATCTGGTGGGCAGAGTTCAAAGTGTCCTGGTTTTGGGTATCTGGTGGGCAGAGTTCAATGTGACTAAGAAGGTGCTGGAGCAGTGCCAGCAGCCTGGTGTGAGCAAACGTGCCAGAGGAGAGGAAGGAAGGAATGGAAAATGATGTCAACAGAGCAATGATCTCCCCATCATCCTGTGATGTGATGTGCAGTGTGACTAGGAGATAACACGAGATTTTCTGTTGAGTTAGCAGCACATAGTGATAGGCTGTGCCCACAGAGATGCTGTGCACAGACTCCTGGAGGGGTTTAAAGGTGAAATCTTAGGGTGTTCAGGCACTGGAATATTGCCCAGGGAGCTGGTGGAGTCATCATCCCTGGAAGTGTTTAAGAGGTGCCTGGATCTAGCACTGGAGGATATGGTTTAGGGATTCCAGCAGTAACAGGTTAATGGTTGGACTTGTTGATCTTAGAAGTTTCTTTGAACCTTGATGATTCTATGATTCATCTGCAAAGCTCTTGTAGTACTTTCTCCCAGCTTGGAATGGAATCCTGTGCTTTGATTGGAGGAGTCTGTTAGTGTTAGATTTAACATGAACTTTATTTCCAGCTATGGCAGAGCTGCAGCAGCTCAATTTGCTGTGTGCTACGGAATCCTGTGCTTTGATTGGAGGAGTCTGTTAGTGTTAGATTTAACATGAACTTTATTTCCAGCTATGGCAGAGCTGCAGCAGCTCAATTTGCTGTGTGCTACTAAGTCTGTCTTTAGCAGAGCAGGAAAGGCTCTTGAGTGTCCTTGCAGGCTGCAGGTGCAGTTAATGACAGGTTAATGGTTGGACTTGAGGATGTTAGAGGTCTCCTCTAACCTTGATGACTCTGTGATTCTATGAAATGTGACTGTTGAGTTCAAGCTTGACTTTTGTGCTTTGATTTTTGTTCTCAGCCTGTTGTTGGGTGTCTGGTGGTCAGAGCCCAGTGTGGCTGGGAAGGTGCTGGAGCAGCCCCAGCAGCCTGATGTGAGCAAACAGGAGGTGCAGGAAGGACTGGAGTGTGATGCCAACAGAGCAATGGTCTCCCCATCACCCCATGATTTCTGTGCAGTGTTACAGCTCTAACCAGCTGATTGCTTGTGGATGCTGCAATCCATATCTTATCTCAGCTTATCTTGTGCCTCACTTCAGGTTCTCTGCTGAAACCCCTCACCGTGTTCTGCCCTACTGAAGCAGAGCTGAAGCAGTGGCTTTACCACCTGAAGAAACAGATTCATCTGAGTGGAGGAAACCTTAGCTTTTCCTTCTTCTTTCAGGTGAGTGGTGGAGGCTCAGAGCAAAGTCACCAGGGGAGCTGGGATGGCTTCTAATTTGGGACTTGCCTTTGGTGTAGTCTTCTGTGAGGGAAGGGGGTAAAAAGAAAGGGTTTGCAAGTGGTGTTTGATAGCTGTAGGCAGGGAGGGGGTGCTGAAAGGGAGATCTGCCAGCCACAGGTGCCACCAGCACAACCTCCAAAGTGTAGGAGGGTTGGGTTGCTCAGAGAAACTCTCACAGATTTCACTGCTTGTACAATTAGATATTACAAAACATCTGGAGGAGGAGATTGGGACCTAAAAACCAGGGCCAGATTCAAGAGATTTTTTTCTCTCCCAGGCTCTGTGGGGTGTTTTCATTCCCTCCCTGTATCTATCTCCCCACTTGTCAGAGGTATCTCCCTATGAAAGGCAGTGTACAGGTGATGCTTGGGATCAAGAATGATTGTCCATGGAAAATTGGCTCCTGCACAGATTTATTTACTCTTTCCTGCTTCTGCCACACATAAAAAGTGCCCCAAGACTAGCTAAACTCAGGGGAGGACATGTCTACCTGCTTCTCAGTTTCCTGCTGTCCCTAGAACAACTTGAAGCACAACTCCATGAGGAATGACAATCTGAGCTGGTCCGTGCAGAACATGCTTCTCCAGGAGTGTAGAGGGACCCAGAGAGAAACCCTGGGTGATGTCCTCTGTATTTCCAAAGTGAAGCTTCAGCATCTGCCATTCCAGGTAGGACACAGCTCTGGGGAGCAACAGAGCACAGGGGATGGATGGATGGATGGAGTGACTACTGCAGGCTCCTGCCACTAATCCAATGGGTCCCAAGGGTCATTTTCTGCATGTGTGAAGGAGAAAAGGTTTCTTACTGCTCCTGTGGCCCAGCAGTGGTGCTTGAAGGTGGCACATGTATAAGCATTTGCAGGACAGGGCTGGCAGCTGGAGCTGGCAGCAATCTCCTGATACAGGGAAACAGCTCTGCCCTTTCCAGAGCAATCTCCCAATGCAGGGAAGCATTTCTGCTCTTCCCAGAGCAATCTCCTGATACAGGGAAGAATTTCTGCTCTTTCCAGAGCAATCCCCCAATGCAGGGAAACAGCTCTGCCCTTTCCAGAGCAATCTCCCAATGCAGGGAAGCATTTCTGCTCTTCCCAGAGCAATCTCCTGATACAGGGAAGAATTTCTGCTCTTTCCAGAGCAATCCCCCAATGCAGGGAAACAGCTCTGCCCTTTCCAGAGCAATCTCCCAATGCAGGGAAGCATTTCTGCTCTTCCCAGAGCAATCTCCTGATACAGGGAAGAATTTCTGCTCTTTCCAGAGCAATCCCCAAATGCAGGGAAACAGCTTGGCTGTCTCCAGAGCCCTTGCCCCAGGCTGGTGTCAAAGAGACAAAGCAAAGGGTTCTCCAGACATGAGCCCAGCCTGGCTGTTCCCAGGGAACCAACTCTCTCCCTCTTTGCTTTCCAAGGAGCAGCATGACAGGCTGTTGGCGCTTTACCCCTCCACACTGGTGATAGTATCTGAGGAGCCAAACGGCCTCTGCTTTAAGGTAAGTTCATTCTGAAGCATCTTCCTGCCCTCTCACCCATCCACAGCAGCTATTTCAGCTCTCCTTTGGTTTGTTGCTCCCCTCCACCTGTGTTCCCTTGTGCTCCTCTTGTTGGCAAGGGCTTCCCCTCCACACTGCTCCCTTGCCAGCTGGCAGGTGAGCAGGCAGAGGGATGTTGCAAGTTATCTTCCCATGAGAAACACCTTGCCCTCCTCCAGAAGCCCAGGGGGGAAGGAGCTGGCTGCCAAGGAATCTCTGGGAGGAGGGAGGCTGGCATGTTCCTGTGTGGTTGTGCTGGCAGGGAGCCTGCCTTGCCTGCTCCACATGGGAGCTGGAACAGCTCCTGAGAGTGCCCCTGAAGGGGCTTTGCTTCCCAGGATCTGTGTCATGGGACCACTTGGAAGCAGGGAGCATCCAGGCAGCACAGATGGGCACAGGCAGGGAAGAGAGGCACTGTTTGCTGTTCTTTCCCTCTGTGGAGCAATGTCAGTGGAAGGGATGACAAGAATGTGGAGGACTGAGTGTCCCAAGGGATGTGAGAGCAGCTCCTCTAGCCACTGCTGTGTCTTTGTCTGTGGGAACAGTGCTGGGAGTCTCAGCACAGACAGGCAGTGACACTGTGCAGCCTGAATGACCCTTAAAATCACCTGCCAACATCCCTTGTGGCACTTGGGGACATGGTTTAGTGGTGAACACGGCGGTTCTGCGTTAATGGTTGCACTTGGTGATCCTAGAGGGCTTCTCTAACCTTAATTCTGTGTTTCTCTGATCTTAGACATCAGTGCAGTGGCTAATTAACAGCCCTGTGCTTTCTGGTCCTGTTTTCCCATGCTGGAACAAATGTGCCAGAAAGAGCAGTGAACTGTCTGTGAACCCACCAGCACAGGGAGCTGAGCTGGGCTGCAACATCCCTCTTAGTCACTGAGACAGCAGCCAGAGACAGGGGAAGCTTGCAGAGAGATGGAGAGCTTGTGAAATGAGCAGCATCAACTCCCTGGGGTCCTTCTTGGGGTTTCACCTCGTACAGCCTTGCAAGCTGCTTTGAGTTCAAGGGTTGCCCATGGGAAAAGCTGTGCAGAGCATCTCCTGAGAGGAGATATCTGTGCCTCAGCAGGGTATGAGGAGGGACATGACCAGTCAGAGCTCTCCCAGTGCAACAGTGGAGGGTGTTTTCCAGCAGCTGGTGGCTTGTGTGACACACCTCAGCTCTAGCTTGTTTCTGGGAACATGTTGTTTGCAGCTCCTGGGAATGGGGCACCATTTAAAGGAGCCTTGGGCTGGGCTCTCCCATTAGCTCATCTCTTTTGAAACTTTAAACTAGCTTTGTCTGCCTTGTCCATGCAATGTTCCCTTCCCACGGGGTGGGAGCTCTGGTCCCAGAGCTCTGCACAGCCCAGTGCAGGCAGGAGGTGATTCACCAGCCTGTGACACTGCACTGGGAACCTGCTTTTCCACAGGCAAGTCAGGGCACAGGAGTCTTCTTCTCCCAAGGCTTCTGCAAATTAACTTCCCTTCCCTGCAAGCAGCTGCTGAGCCCTACAATTTGTGTGTGAGGGAATAGCTTGGCCCTTTTGTTCCTCAGCTTCATACAAACCACAGGAGCTGCTGCTGCCAAGTGTGTGTGGGACAGGGAAGGGGAAGGAAGGGGCTGAGCCTGCTGGGATGGGGCTCACCCAAATCCACAGGCTGCTGGTGGGAAAAGGCCCTGGGCAAGGTGTAAACCAGCAAAGGGCAGAGCTGCTGGGGAGCAGGTTCATACTGTGTCCAGGGAAGGCTGGAGAGGCTCTGTGTGTGTGTTATTTGTGAGATGCTGCTGCTCCTCCTGAGGTGGAACTCAACCCAGAGGTGTTTCAGCAGCCTTCATAGACAGAGAACTGTTGTCTAAGGGAGGATGGAGCAGCAGGTTCCTGGGGAAGTCCTGCACAGTCATCCTTGGTGGCAGGAGGTCTTGCTGGGATGTGCTGGAGAGCTGAGGAGCAGCAGCACAGCCAAGCAGCACTCGAGTCAGCTGAAATGCCAAAGTCCATTTCTTACAGCCACAGGGGAAAAGGAGTAAGGAAGCAGCAATGCATGAGCATTCCCTCCCAAGGTCAGCCTTCCCTCCTGCTCAGCCCATAAATCACTGGTGGTGCAGGAGGAATGCCACAGGAGCCTGTGTGTGCCCACAGGCTATTGAGGAGAGGCAGCTGCCAGCACAAACCACGGACACCCAGGAGCTCCACAACTCCCTTGTGGTGAAGTTGTCACGTCAGCCACGTTCCCAGAGCCTTTCCAGCTGGCACAGCTTGGAAGTGAGGACGTGAGGAGTAGGCACCTTATTTTGCAGCCCCTGAACTTAGGCAAATTGAATCCTGAGCAACTGCACCTTTGGAGAAGAACTTGAGCTAAATGACAGGGCTTCAGTCCTGCTTTTTGTGCATGAGGACGTCTCCTGGGCATGGAGGAGAGTGGCATGAGGTGGGAACATTTTTTCTCAGCCTCAGAATGTTCACAATCCTGTCCAGGAGCTGCTCCTAGGGCCATTGCCACTAGCTGCCCCTGCCCAGTGAGTGCTCCATGCCCACAGCAGGATCAGGGTGACATCCAGAGGAGGAGAACAGGAACAAAAATACTACATGTTCCTTGGTTTCCCCCTCCTGAGAGAATGGGGGATGAGAAGTCGAATGATGAGCTCATCTGTACAAGTTTCCAGTGCAAAATCTGCTTCAACTGTTCTTTCAGGACTGTTCCTGTGTCATTTCTGTAAGGAAAACTCAGCTTGGGGAGCCCCAAAGACAGAGGAGTCCTAGATCCAAGTTCAGTGCTGACAAACCCTTGCCATGTAGCCCATCACAGAGAATTAAGCTGCTAGTGGTGACACTTAAGGGACATGTGGCAGCAGAGGAGAGCTGGAGCAGGCAGCCCAGTCCCTGTCTGCCCTGCAGAGCTGCTCTGGCACAGCCCAGTGCCTGGGGCAGATGTGGGATGGCCAGGGGACACCAGGGGATGGCAGAGGGGATGTGCATGCAAAGGAATCATTGCATTGAGTGCCAACAGCACATGGTGTCTCCTAATTCCAGGTTTTCCATGGCTGCTTTGCCTCCCAGCTGACAGGAACATATTGCCTGCCTGGGGCAAAGCCCATTCCCATCTCAGGAGTGGCATTCACAACTGTGCCATGAGCAGGAGCTCACGTTTCCCCAGTTGGCATTTGCAGGGCTCAGCTCTGGCTTTGTAAGGCTTTGCAGGGAGTGGATTGTGGGGATTCCTCTTTGCAAGGCTTGGAAGTCCCAAGTCAGGAGCTAAAAACCTTGTTCAGGTTCATGTTTGCCAGCTTTCCTGGAGAAGGCAGAAAATTCAGCCATTAAACTGCTGAAAAGAGAAGTAGAAGGGAAGAGGTGTGTTTCCAAGCTCAGATTTCTGGAGGGACTGTGAGAACAGAGCTTACAGAACTGTCTCCTGCAGTCACATTGGCTCCAGAGGCTTCATTCCTGCAGGAAGGCTGGTGGTGGGACAGAGCTGGGAATGGGGAGGGACTGGAAAGGGACCAGGCTGGGCCAATCTGCTGGGTAGAGTTCTCCAACAGACCTGGCCTAGGGGATTTAGGCTCTGAGATTCCCTATCCCCACAGGAAATCCCAGGGGATTGCTAGCAGGGCTGAGCTGACCCTTTTCCCCACACCACAGGAATTCCAACCAGGCTCACTGCATCTTCCCTCCAGGTTCCCTTCCTCATGCTCCCAGCAAAACTGCACTAGGCTCCTAAATCCTCTGGGCTTCCCTGATGGAAAAACCCCTGTGGAAGCTGAGTTTTGCTGCCCAGGTGCTTGCAGAGGCTGCAGCCCTGAGGGTGGCAGGGGCAGCTGTGTTGTCCTCCCTGTAGGACATGGACTGGGATCTGCCTCAGCTCCAGTCCTAAACCTCCTTCTCTCTCCACAGGGTGAGCTGCCCCTCAATGCCATCCAGGTGCTTTTTGAAGAGAATGAGAAAACCTCCTTTTTAATTGAAGGTATGTGTCTGGTGTGCCAAGGGCAGCAGCTGTGGAGGTCTCAGGGATTGGGATGGTTCTGCTGAGCTGCTGTGGCACTTTGCTGGCTGTGATCACTCCCATCAGCTCTGTGAACTGGGAATGTGGGATCTCTGTGCCCTGGCTGCACTGGGAGCCTATAGAACCTGCACTAGGAATGCACAGGCTCCTCCTCATTTAGATCTGGGGTTGCCCCTGTCCTACATCCAGCCTGGTGCAAATAGCACTACAGGCAGAGCATTCCCAGTCTCCAGGTGCCAGGAGAACATGGAGAGGGATGGGGCAAGAGGGTTCTGAGGGATGCAAGAGGTGATCCAGCCCAGTGAGAGCAGTGGGGGATGTTTTCCAGGCCGACTGATCAACTCAATCCGGGTGAGCTGTCACAGCTATAAGGATTACCAGGACTGGCTCTACTGCCTGACCACAGCTCAGTTTCGGAACACTGACTTTTCCTGCTCCGGCTCCGAGAGCTTCTCAGGATCAAAGCCACCACAGCCCAGTCAGGTAACAGGTCCTGGGGGTTTCTGTGGGCATCACTGGCTGTCCTGGCTCTCTCTGGCCATGTGTGAGCACTGTGACAGTGAAGGGGCTCCAGGGAAGCTGCACTGGGACTCTGTGTTAGGAACTGGAGTGATGGGACAAGGAGGAATGGGGTAACTGAAAGATGATGTGCTGGATTTAGCCAGGATGGAGTTAATTTTCTCAGTAGCTAGTGTAGTGCAGTGTTTGGATTCAGAGTGATAATACTGTTGATAGCAAACTGATGTTTTGGTTTCTGCTAAGTTGTGTTTATCCTAAATCAAGGATATCAAGGATATTTTCTTTCTGGTGTCTTATGCCCTGCCAGTGAGAAGATACACAAGAAACTGGGAGGGAGCATAGTTCCAGGTGACCTGAACTAGCCAAAGGGATATTCCACCCCATGGCACATCATGCCCAGTATATAAGCAGGAAGGGGCTGATCTGGGGGGAGGGACAGGTTTGTTGAGCAATTGGATTGTGCATCACTGATTTTGTTCATTATCCATTAGCATTTTAGCTCATTCTGCTCATTATTATTACTAAACTGTTTCTTTTCTCAACCTACATATTTTACTTTATTTGTTTTCCTCCCCATTCCTCCGGGTTGGGC